TCTCGCTCTCTCTCTTCTTTTTTTTTTAGGAGATGCTCAAGGTGACACATGGAAGCAACAGATCATTCATGACACGCACAATGGGAATCACAAATCACAGCGTAGGGACACACATGCACTTAAAACAGCCAGTACACGCGGGCCTGGAGGCGCTCTGCTGCCCGCCAAGCTTTGCCAAACTGCCAGCGGCACACTTCTTTTCTTTTTGGCTGGCACTTAGATCGGATGTGAAGCGTCTGCTTCGGCGAGCGGAGTGCCAGCCGTTGTAGTCCGGTAGCCCTGATGCGCGAAATTTCCGGAGTAGACGCCAAAAAGTTTTCTGCAACGCTGCGGCTGTGTACTGTCGGCTTAGAGAAGTACCAAGTACATCGCAAATTGCCGAATCACAAATCAAGGTGAGATTTACACACGCCAGACCAGACCAGACCAGTTTGTTGTCTTACTCATACCAGATGTGATTCCATCGAACATTCCTGACTGTTGGATCATCATGTCGCTCCTCAAGTTCTCTGCAACCCTACAAATGCGGAGTCCCACTGTCTGCGCACCCCATGGATGAACTGTCTGCGCACTCTCTAGTCTCTTCTTGTTTTTAATTCCTTTTTTTTGCTTTTTGTGCTCAGGGACCATGCTAATTCTCTGATGAAAGATTTGAGAGAAAAATAGACAGTAGAGGGGGGGAAAAAAAATCTGTACCATTCCAATTTTAGCAGGTGTCCCGCCTTTTCTATCAGAGAACCAAGTAAAGAGAAGAAGAAAGAAAAAAATGGTCCAGCATAAATTTTCCATATTGATAGACATTTTTCAGCTGGAAGTTAAGACCTTAAATAACCATAATATTATCATATTATTTTATTATGAAGTAATATGATCATAAAAGTTTATGATGAAGCCAAATTGTAATGAATTTGGCTACTGTCCTCCTCCGCCTCGTGCTCATCATCGTCATCATCATCATCATCGTCATTGTCATCAGCATCAGCATCAGCATCATCATTGTCATCATCAGCAGCAGCAGCATGTTCATCATTATCATGATGATGATGACGATGATGATCATGATCATGATCATCATCATCGTCATCAAGCATGTATGTGCAAAGAATCTGATGAAAGATAACACACCAAGAGATCTAGCAACGGTGTCACAACGTGTAACCGGTTGAGCGCGCTTGAGCTCGCGCTCAACCCCCCCCAGTGCGCTCAAACGCACTCAATCGCATTTCAGGCGTGGCGCGTAGGGCGCGCTCGTGGAGTGGAACACGTGAGGGGGTTTGTGCGAAGAAAAAATAAATTTGGGGGGGAGTGGTTTTGGGGGGGGTTGGGTGGGCGGTGGAGGGGGTCCAAGGGCTGTTTTGGGGGTGTGGTGGCTGAGGTGGGAAGGGTTGGGACCTGGGTGGGGG